AAGATCTCTTCAATGTTAAAAGCTGATTAACTATTTTACATCTTTTTAGCATATATTTACATTTCGCAGCATGTCCTCACACGTGCTTTCATACAGTTACCCAGAAGGCAGGCTTCTGAACTAACGCTTTGATATCAGCCCTTTGATACGTTCAGTACCAGCACTTCCCCCTAAAACCAGAGTGATTCAACCCAGAGAATAGAGCTGTATGTGGCTCCCTGTGCAGGCAGGACTGCACTCCAGGGACGAGCCACGTCAACAGAACCCGTGTTCACAGAACACAGACAGCCTCTCAGAAAGCGAAAAGCCCATCTCTTTGCCCAGCTAGCCCACATCACTTCTACTGCAATTAAGCAACTCTAACAAATGTTTGTTTTATCCAGAAGCTGCACAAACATAGATGATTTAATTTCTCCTCAAAGAATTTAATAAGGCTGCTTGTCTGCAAGTAGTTACTTATGAGAGAAGGAAAACAAGAATCAAAATTGGATTCTGTTATTTTTCCTAGATACAGACGATCAATTGACAATACTGTTTCAAACATATTTCAGTATGCCAAAGGCATACACAACTCAATAAATAGTTAAACAAAGGAAACCCTGCTCCGATTCAAATACAGGTCTGGGAGAGAACCAGTACAGACAGGATATCAAAAGCTACCCTTCAGAAGTCCCCACAGAGCACTTTAGTGAACCAAAGAACTCAGAGCTAAGAAAAAACCAACAAAAAACAACACAACTTCAGCTCCTCTGAACAGCCATGTAATGCTGATGTCGCTGAACATTATTCCTTTCCCAGACCTACACTTCCAAATCACCCCAGCAGCAAACCCCCTAAAACACACAGCCACCACCACGTGCATCACCACAGGAGCGCTCAGCAGGAGGCAGCTCCTGCACGCAGCAGCCCTGAGCCCTGCCAAGCCCACCCTGCCCAGCATTCAGTGCCACCCCTTCCCTTTTCCTACCACAAGTGCCTCCAACCATGCAGAGCTGAATCAGAAATATTTTTTGCTCTGTTTTTTCAAGCTCGGTTCACTTCTACAGCTATTAGAAACAAACCAACCCACTTTGGCCACAAACCAACCCACTTTGACTACAGGCCTGCTCATGAAGCCGAGATGGCTTGGTTGCATCTGTGTGAACACAGAGTTACACACCACTGAAACAAATCTGGGCTTCAGACTGAGTAGAACTTCGTGGGTATGCTTATGTTCTCCCTTTCAGTTGCATTACTTCTGCTATATACAAATATTTTCCATCATATTTCTAATACTTCTTGCCCAGTGAAGCCATCTACCCAGCTCAGACGTCACTTACTGCAGTGTTATCATCCAGCAATTAGAACAGAAGGTGACTTTTTGGCACACAAAAGTATTTTCAACTTTGCGATAAGACAGAACTCTTTACTCCAGTTTAAAAAGATCCAATTAAGGGTTTGCTGTTGAACAATCAAGAGGAAGCACTTCCTCTAAATCCTTAGGGCTGACAGCACAAGCTTGGCTAAAGGGAGTGCTGCCCGCCTCCCACACACCTGCACTGCACACTGAGCCCCAGTCACTCACAGGTTACAGTAAAATAAAGGCCTGTGCGTCCCACACAATTCACCCAGTCAGAAATTAAGTGTTATAATGTTCTAACAGAGAACAAAGTTTAGAGCCCGGCATATTAAAAACAAGGGAATAATAGCCAAGCACTGCTGTTGCCTGGCAGAAATGTCAGATTACTCAAGATAACACAGGCACGACTGATGCTGATACTCCAGACTGCTTCATCCTCTGTAATTTCAAACTCCAAGGATACTGTTTAATTCACAAGTGCCCTGAGAGCTTCTATCACATCTCAGGCTGATGTCTTCTTCCGTAACTGGGAAATGGAAATATATTGTGAAAATAGGAATGCAATTTTTCAGCTGTGTCATTACTTGTATACGTGAAATATTAATTTGGCACATGATAGACACAGCCACTATAATCACACTTTGGTAACACTCATGCTGAGTATACATCTGCAGTCAGGGCCAATCTGAGAAGCACCACCAAGGATTTATACACCTATCCAACATGAAAAAATGAGAACACCCAGTAACAAACAGATGTGGGTCTTTTGGAAATTAAGTAGTAATTGGTATTTTTTGCACTCCTAAGAAGTAAGAACTAAAATTCTAAACCCTTACTAAATCCCCAGATACTGCCAGCAGCACAATTTCAAACCCAGGGATTGCTTCAGGAGCTCCCATTTTACAACGCAGTGAATGACATCACTGAGGAAAACAAATGGTTCTACTCATGAGTTTTTTATCACACACAGATGAGGTGTGGATTGCTCAGAGGCCAAAAATATATTTTATTGTTTCTTAGCTATAAACGAAGTGATACCTGGGGAAGAGAAAGATTGCCATGTAATCATCACGAACCCCACAGACTGCAGACAGCCAGCTGCCCTGCTCCTGCTGGTATCCCCCAAATCAGATGGAGCTCCTCCTTTGTCTCACCTACCCCACCCACCGTCTGCTCCAAGTACCATTTAATATAGTTTTGGTCTCACTGTACCTAGCAAACAAGTATGGAATTAGTTCTTAAGAACATAAGCATTAGAAGCACCATTACAAAGTGAAAATTAAACCCCTTTTTAATTACAGAGACAACATGTGTCTGATTGCAGCATTTTCTAAGGGTAGTACTGATTAAAAATAACTTGTTGAAGTAAATCTTTTGAGCAACAAGCATAACTGAGAACTATACTGCTACTTGCATCAGCAGCAAAACTATCAGCTAAATGCATTTTGCAGGATTTAAACAGTATTAATATCAAAACAAAATTAAATAAAGTAGACATACATGATTTTAGAAAGGGCTGACAATAGCAAACAGCTGTGAAGAAAGCTTTAGATTCCCTCAAAAACTGACAGAATTCACTCCATAAAGCAGTGATTAAATCTAACAACTACAGCAGAGCTCACAACTTACTCTGGCTGAGGAACTTCTCAGTAGGCCCCTCACAGTACAGTAACTTCACAAAGTTACACAGAAGTTTTAGGAAGTTGCAGAGAAGCTGCAAAGTGAGCTCGTAAGTTATACTGCATGTGATGGTGATGAGGACAGTGTTATAAGAGTGAAAAATAAGGTGAGATTATGAAGTAGCAAAAATATATTTCACAAATTCTACGATAGTTCAAGAAGTTGGTGCTAATCCCAGACACTCAGAAGAACATGCCACTCCTCTGATGGCTCCAGTCAAATCCAATCACAATTAGAGCAAATGCACGCAATTATAATACCTGTCTAGCAGCTGCTATTTCAGAGTAAAGAAGAATACTTGCTTCCTTCAGAATCAGGAGGAGTAAAAAAAGCTTCCAGCAGCAAGGAAATAAGATCATTTCCTGCAGCTGTATCACATGTCCTGCTCAGCCCCTGCTGCTGCTCACCCCAGAACTCTCTGAGGCCAAAGCCCACAGCTGGAGTCCTCTCCAGAAACACCTTTCACTGTTGTTCCAGAAGCACAACTATCCAAACTCTCGACAACTATGAACAACTTCATCCAAAGTGCTTCAGTAACAAGGTGAGCTATGCAAATCGCAGTGGAAATGTAAAAGGGAACACAGAAGTCAGACTCACATGGGAGTATGGCAAACACACTCAGCATGAAGCAAGCACTGCACACACACAGGTTATTCAAACCTTCAGCATGGCAAATGTAATGCAGCATCATTAAAAACACGGACTTAATAATTGCACTGCCCATCCCCTTCATGGATCTTGAAGAGACTGAACACCATCACAGCTGAAAGCTTGTTCAGATGCCAAACAGCCCACCTGGAGTCACACAGTACCACAGGAGACCTCCCCCAAAAACACAGAGATTTACTTCCCTTCTACTGACTGCAGCCACTTCTTGTTCTTACACGACTTACACCATTTCTCAAAATACACCAGCACTCCTCCACAACCTGCAATGACAGGTAAAGCACTGCTGCAGGTGCCTTCGTGCCTTTCAAGCACAGTCACTTCAGTTCACCTGCTCAAGCACACAATGCTTTATATGACATTAAATATGCTATCGCTTAATTGGAACTAATGCCATAGTACACGCATAATTACTTTCTTCTAAGCTGACAGTCTTCTTCATATTTCCCAGGTACTTGTCTGGTTCTACAGCTTAATCCAAGTTAATATATCAGTACTTTTTCCCTGTTGCGTAGAAGAAACATTCAAAACAACAAGTAGCGATGAGGAAGAAGTTAAACTAAACTACGTAACACACACCAAAGAAACACAGTTGTGTCCTTTATCTGCAGGAAAATCAGAAATGTTGTCTCTAACTTGAAGTAATTCCACGCTCCCAGGGCAGCAGGCACGGCCCCGGGATGCCAGAGGTCGAAGAGCGTTTGGACATTGCTCTCAGACACAGCGTTTGAATTTTGGGTAGCACTGTATGGAGCCAGCAGTTGGAGCAGACGGTCCCCTTGGGCTCCTTCCGGCACGGGATATTCTATCATTCTGCAGTTAAGATTACTGAACTCACGGGTAGCGTTTAGAGCAAAGTAGGATTTGAAGAAATACAGAGACGGTGCTACTAACACACGTTTATGAACGGGATTTTTGAGGAGGGAGAAGAAATCAACTTCTGTCTGTCAGGCTTGCTGAGGCTCAGCCCCAGCACCAGCCGGCACAAGGCACAGCAGCTCGCGGCGGGACGCAGAACCGCGGCTCCCCGGCGGGGCCGTGCCGGAGCGGGGCCGCTTCTCTCCGCACCGCGCCGGCACCGAGCCGGAGCCAAACTTCAGCCGCCTGAACACCGCCGGGGAGCTCTGCGGGCTCGGCGCTGACAGCGGCCGCGGGACCCGAGCCGTCCCGGCCGACCCACGGCCGCAGCGCCGCTCCGTGGCGCGGGGAACGCCGCCTCCCCGGGTCCGCTCGCCCCGCCGCCTCACCCGGCTCCCTCCGGACCCCGCACCGTGACGTCCCTCCGAAGCGGCGCCGCGGCCCGGCCGCTCCTCACCTCCTTGACGGGAGGAAATTTTTTCCTGCACTCCAGGCTCAGGCCCCGCAGGTCTCCCTGCATGTTTTCCAGCAGTTTCTTCACGGCTTCGGGGCTGCTGGTGCCGGACATGGCGGCGCCGAGCCGGGCGATGTTCCGACGGGGCAGGGGCAGCGCCTCCGGCTCCGCGGCCCCGGCCGACACGTCCGCGCCCGACACCGGAACCCGTCAGCCGCGGCCTCTTCCCTCCCTCCCCGCCGCCCGCCCTCCCCGGGTCGCCGCCACCGCCCCCCCCGCTCCCACAATGCCGGGCGCCGCGCGTCAGCCGCACGGCCTGGGGCGGGCGGGGCGGCCGCGGGGAGCTTCCAGAGCGGCGCGGCCTCCTCATGCCGCTGAGGGGCCTATGGCGGCCTCGCGGCGAAGAGCAGTGCGGGCAGGAGATGCTGAAGGGTCACGGCTTTGGGCTGCTGCCTGGCTTTTAGGGGCGGGGAGGGGTGCGCGGAGCGCAGTTTGAGCGCTCCCCGGGTAACGTCAGGGGGTGCCACGCAGGCTGAGCGCTGTCTTGGGCTGCTCTCTGCAGGACGCCATCCCAGCCGCTCGCCTCTCCCGGCGGTGTGGGTCCTTGCCGCAGTAACCATTCGCTGTGCGTCTCTCTTCACAGTGCCCGCCGGCCGGTGCTCCTGCGAGATTAAAACTTCTCCCCCCCCTCCCCCCCACTTTCTGTAGTCTGTTAATTTTTTGTCTTGAGAACCTTGACAAAAATAAAAACCGAGTTTCTTCAGAACTTCCTATGTTTTATTCAGAGAATGTTCTAAGATTGACATAAACGATGGGGTCAGGTGCACCCTCAGTAAGTTTGCAGATGATGCTGCGCTGAGTTGATGGTGGCAGGAAGGAAGGGATCCATTCAGAGGGACCTGGACAAACTTGGAAGGTGGGCCCAGGTAAACGCGATGAGGTTCAAGGATCCCAAGTGCAAAGTGTTGCATTTGGGTCAGGGCACTCCCAGGTATGAGTACAGACTGGGAGAAGAACTCCTTGAGGGCAGCCCTACAGAGAAGGATTTGGGGGTCCTGATGGACGAAAAACCAGCCATGAGCCAGCAGTGTGTGCTTGCAGCTCAGAAGGCCAACTGTGTCTTGGGTTGCATCAAAAGAGGGGTGGGCAGTAGGGCCAGGGAGGGAATTGTCCCCATCTGCTCTGCCCTAGTGAGGCCACATCTGGAGTACTGCAACCAGGTCTGGGGCCCCCAGCACAGAAAGGATGTGGAGCTATTGGAATGGTCCAGAGGTCCTACCATGAGGATGGTAGGAGGGCTGGAGCACTTCAGCAAAGACAGGCTGAAGGAGCTGGGCTTGTTCAGTCTGAAGAAGAGAAGGTTATAGGGAGATCTCATTGAGGCCCTCCAATCTTTTAGGAGAGATTATAAACATGACAGAAATCAGCTCTTTACATGGGGTAGATAGTGATAGGACAAGGGGAAATAGTTTAAAAGAGGGGAGATTTGGGGGAAGTTTTTCAAAGAGAGAGTGGTGAGGTGCTGGCACAGGCTGCCCAGAGAGATTGTGGACGCCCTATTCCTGGAGGTGTTCAGACCAAGCTGGATGCTGCACTGGGCAGCCTGATCTAGTGTTTGATCCAGCAATTGGCGACCTTGCTTGTAGCAGGGGGTTGGGACTAGATGATCCTTCAGGTCCCTTCCAACACAAGCCGTTCTATGATTCTATAAAGATTGTTTTTCATCTTTTGTGTGTGTCTTTTAGTGACAAAAGAAAAATAAATTGTCATGTAACACACACTGCATATCGTGTGGCATGGAGGTTGCCCGTGGCACAGCACTGCTACTTTTAGTCTGCGCCCTTATCTGTCAACATAAGCCCTTAGGTTTGCTTTAAGAAGCAAGAAGTAAAGGATTGCTTTATAAATAACTTATTTTAATGTCTTTATTTTTACATCGTTTTCAAACCACCGGCTGTTAACTTGGCAGTGCTTGATAAATGGATGTGACATTTTGAAAGTGAAGGAAATGTTAGCACAATTAAATCAGGTGGTCAGAGTTAGAGGCTGCGTTCTCATGTGACGAGGTCAGGATATCACCTGTTCAGCCTTCAGTGAAGACAAACCTGGACTCTACAACATTTTTTGAGATTCAAAATGCATTTTGTGATGTATTCTCAAGGACTTTGATTTTTATGTTTAAATACAAGAAAAAAAGTTTTTTTTTTTTCTGTAGTGCTATTTATTTGCTTAACCAGTAAGCATTTTACTAAGGATTTTCAGAATCAATTGCATTTTGGTGTTCAGTCTCAGTGGCAACTGGCATTTAAATCCAAATACTTCAGTGAGAAACCTGGACAGATTGCTGGGAGACTGAGGAAATCAATTAAGGCAACTGATGACTGTGTGTAGGTATTTCTTGGGTAAGCTTCGATTGCTCACTTCCTTTTCGTTGTTTGGGCTTTTCCACATGTCTGTTTTATACCATCTGCTGGACACAGGCAGCTGTGGGTGTATTGGTAAGCATCTGCCTCAAGTAAAAGGACTGCTCTTTGTTGTGCAGCCAGGGTCAGGAAACTGTCTTGTAGCACTGCCTTTCTCTCAAAAAGGGACTAAGTGTTTTGGGTAGAATCTGTTTGAATGTGACATCTTGAGTTAAACTGCTCTTGTTCTAGTCAAAGTGATGTCCTGCTGCCATATTTCCTTGTGAACAACTGTGAGACAAGTAGAAAGAATTGAGATTGATATCATTTAAAGGAAGCAAGTTATTATGTCATGAAGTGCAGGTGCACAGTTATTTCCTGCAGGCTTTCTTGTTTTGCCTAACAAAACAAGTACTGCAAACATCCAGGTTAGGTGGGGGACAGCTTTTAAATTGTGAATGCCTGTTCAACAACTTATATGAAAGATAGATTACATTTTCTTTGATCAAAACCACAGCTGTTGATTTTCTGTTCTTCCTCACAGATAAAAACCTTACTTTTGAAGGAAATAAAAACTGTTTCTGGCTGATGTTCCGTCCTTTTCACTGCTCAGTGCTCAGAGTTGCAGACCAGGAAAGAGAGGACCATATGTTTACAACTTTCACAAACAAAAAAGATTAACATACTTGATTCTTAAAGTAATTTTCTCATTACACTGTAGAATTTGGAGTTTATTGGGTCTGTTGAAATCCATGACAGATTTTTACTGTCGCTCGCTAGTTGAATGTTATGTTGCACGCTATTTAGCTTTTAGCTGTCTGCTGTCCTCTCTGCAGATTAACAGCACTCTCTTCTAACAGTGTCAAACAAAAATTGGATGTGCAGTTGTAATAGCCCAATTCATAGTGCTGGAATGTAGAATTATTCATAAAAAATACTACGATAACATATTCTGGGAAATTCTTACTGCTTCCTAAATTGAGATTATTAGGACTTTTTAATATCACACTTGCTCCTTATACATTGTGACGCGTCTGAATCAAGTGGAGCACTTATGAATTTATGGAGACCTACTGTAATTGAGGAAATTGAGCATAAAATGACTTAAATAAGCAACACATCTATTAATAGAAGAGTTTTTTTTTCAGGTTAAGTGCAGTCTCCTGCATATCTTCTGTGAGAGCCATTGTGTGCCTGACATTTAAATCTCAGTAACTTAGGTTAAAATGTGTTCTACTTGCACTCTTTCACTTTTTATCATTGACATTTGTCATACGTATCATTTCACCTACTGCTTTGACACTGTCTGCTCAGTGTAGCCAAGCAAGTACAGAAAGATTGCTCGTGGGTTTGAAGGTGAATCATGTAAGTGCCTGCAGAATTGTAACCTTCTTCGGACCTGCTGAATACCAAACACGGGAGCTGTACAGTTCCTGAATCTCAGACATGTCTCTTTAGCATATCTTTATTCTGTTGTACGCTTTCTGTAAGAACAGAAGATTTATTACTTAAGTTAAAACAGAGTGGTTAAAGTAAACTAGTCAGGAATCTTGAGTGATGCTTAATCAGGTGTGAGGGTGACTTACTGTAGAAGTGAATCTTTGCAACTATTGCACATACTTCTAATCACAGGTAAAAATGCTTGCCTATCTTGACCTGCTTTTAATGCCTTTATTTCATTTCCAGTCACTTATGAATCAGAAAGTGGAGCAGATGTGTGGACAACTCTAAGAGCACATTTTTGACTAGCACGTTGAAAATGCTTGTTGGCTTTCAGGCAAACCTGGTGTTGTGCTGTAATTATTATCTGGTTGCTTGTTTTGTTATTAAATTACATGTTGCGATGGGCAGCGGATGATTGAAATCATTCCCCGTAGCTCTATTGCCCTAATTACCAACAGAAATGCTCATGAGACCTCTTGTGATTCATTCAATTACCTCTCAGAACCACTGTTCATATTCATTCCAAGTGACATGCATCAGGCCTTTTGATTTGATTAAGGATGGAAGAGCGCTCAGCTGTATTCATTTCAGGTGTCTGCCTCTAGTTGCAGTCCTTCTTGGTAGAGGTATACAGATTCAGATTTTGAATACAAGAACGAAGTCAATGTGCCTGTCATGTGGTGTTATGATATGGAATACTGATAAAACCAGGACAGTTGCCACAGCATACAGAGGGAAAACCTGGATGTCACTGTGGCAATAAAAGCAGCCTCGTGCTGATGAATAGAATTGTAGTCTTTCCTCTGGGTTTATTTTACCCATCCTCCTGTATACTTCTGTAACTACTACAAATCTATACATACTACTAAGCAATCTTCAAGATATTAAATGTAAATCATGTAGTCTGGTAAAGGTCTTTATGTACATGCCTAGTGCTTTTGGAGCAGTAGAGTTAAGAGTTAAGATGAAGAAAATTTTGCCTCATAGTAGATTGAACACAGATAATGATATCAAAAGGCAAAATTTAGATTATAAATTAAAACAAGGTGAATGAACTCCCCTTCTTGAACATTTAGGCTGTGTTCATTTTTTGCACAGATATGAGCATGTATTTACAGAGTAGTAGAAGTTTTGTTTGAACATTTGCATGTTAACACATTTTATTTTGCTTAGTCAACTAGCAGAGCAATCCCAGTTGCCTGCTGGTGACTTGTCCTCTTCGTCATCTGCAAACTATCAGCAATTATGTTACATTATCTTTAAGAATGTTAACAAAAATGTGAAGTAGGGATGCCCAGAATTGTAGACCTATGACATGCGTTA